CTACTGCTTTGGTCAATTCAGGGACCCGGTTCTCCGAGGGGGCCCCTTCTGCCCCTTGTTCCAGGGCCCAAACAATCGCCCGGGTCGGAACCACCGCTTTGCGTTGTGGCTTGACCTGGGTGTCCACCAGCGTCTCTTGGATGGCTTTCCGCTTTGCCAGGAGCTGTTTGTGTTCGTCAACGTTGAGCATGCCGAGTTTAATGGAGAGCCACTTTAAAGTGCCCCACCACTTCTGGAGCTTCGCCGGGGTGACCTCCAGCGTGACCGCCTGGTTCATGAGGTGCCGGACGTCACCGGCCGTCCAGGGGAGGTTCTGGAAGCCGATCTTGCGCATGCCCTCATAGGCCAAGCAATGTGCTCGGATGGTCCGGAACCGGGCATCTCCAAATAGGTGGCCGAACTCCTCCAGCTCCCTGGCCCCCATCACCTGGTGCATGTAGGGGATCTGGTGGCGGAAAGGAATGAAGTAGCCCAGGAGGCGTTCCAGCCACCTGGCCCTCAAGTGCTGTTCCAACGCTCGTTGGGATGTCGGCAATTGGGTTTTGATCTTCCCTGGTTTCCAATGCCGCCACTTGTTGGCCACTGCCAGGACATCCGGGGCCTCAATCGATCCGGAGAGGATCCACTCCTCGCGGTCCCGGATGGCCTGCTCCATTTCCAGTGGAGAATAGGTGTGCGATTGTCTGGCGCCTGCCGCACGAAACAGAAGTTGTTGCAGGGTCTTAGTAGCGAGCTCCAAATCCGCCTCCTCCAGCGGTTGTGGTTGGGAGCCGAGTATCCTTGCGAGGATCAAGTTGTAGGTGTCCGAGGCCACCAGGACATGGTTGCCGTCAGGTGCCAGCCCCACGATTCGTGTCCACGGTCGCGGGTCAAAGACCACCGCATCCGGGTTGGCAACCTGGTCCTTTTTGACCCATTCCAGGCAGCACGCCACGAGGATTTCCCCGTCCGACTGCACTGGTGCAAATCCAAGGTCATGCAAAATCAACTGGAACGCGGTTGGAACCCCAAGGAAGGTCGTTCCAAACGGGGAGGGGAGGCGGGGCCTCCACATCATCGTGATCCACTCGAGCCAGGAGCCTAATTCCTAGGCTAGGCGCTAACCCCAACCAAACAACCGGGGAGCCCCCAAAAATCCCGGAAAGGGAAGAACCAAACAAGGGAGCCCAAGCGCGCCAATTTTTCTCGCCTGGTACAGGTCTAGGCCTGTGCTGTGCCCAGGGGGGGATATCAGCGCCCTCGGCAGCTGTCCCCCCCGGGGTGCGCTGCGAATCCGTTCCGGATGGCCGCAGTGCTGTAGGATCATACGGCCCCCTTTGCAATGTCATCAATGCGCTTGAGCGCCGCCGCCTCCGGATTCCGGAGAATCAGCTCCCAGATGGCGTTTGAAACGTGGCCGGTCTGGGTGACGTGGCTGAACCTAAACCGGGGGACTTTCTGGTCCACCACGGAGACATCCCGCAGCGGGGCAGAGGGCTCTACCCGGCGGTAGAACTCCAACCGCTCCTTGACCCAGCGGTTGTACAGGCCCTCCGGCGGCTCGTCCAGCACCAGCTGAAGGATGGCCTTGCCGGCCCGGATCTGGAGGAGGCGGGTGCCCCCTCCCCCGGCGCGCCAGTACCCCTTGCAGTACTTGCACATGTAGCCCCCCCGGGTCTCCCCTTTGGTCTTCGGGATGAGTTCCCACGGGGTGACGGAGCTCAGGACCAGGCCACACTCCATGTGCGCCCAGAAGACATGCTTCGTCTCCGCCGGATAGTTCTTCTTCCGGTAGTCCTTGCCCACCACGCCGTGGACGTTGTCCGATGTGATGGGGGGGTAAACGATCCCCTCATCGCCCTCTCCTCCCCTGGGGCGGATGTCAGGGCCATCGGCACCTGTCCGGCACCCAGGGGCGGAGGGGTCAAGGCCCATCAGCTTGATCATGTCGTTGGTGTAGCCGAGCTTGCGGTAGATGGAGGGGGCTACTGAGTCGGGGACTGCGCCGACCCACCACTGCTTCGTGTTGCAGCGCCAGTTGACCTTCACCTCCGCCAGGGCCCCCGGGCCTCCAATGCGGTCCATGAGGGCCTTGTACACCTCTGGGAACTGCTGGAGACTCTCCACCGGGACAGATATGCGCTCATCACATACCGCCCGGAGGATCATCTGTTCCTTGGAGTCCGCCACGTCCTGGACCGGGAGCTGCATCACCTCCGCCGGGGTGTCCGTGAGGAAGGCCCGGGCCGCGAGGACCTTGCCCATGGCCCGGTAGACCAACCGCCACTCCGGTCCTGTCTGCGGAAATGGAAGGCCCTCCTCCTTCAGGAAGCACCGCGCGTCTTCCTTCAGGGTCTCCCAGCCCTCCAGGCGGATCTGATTATGGGCCTTGTTCTTCGGGCCCCGCTGCCTAGGGCCCTGTAGCAGTGGCAGGGACTCCCAGACTCCCCAGAGCTGGCGCAGGGTGAAGCTGTGACCAAACATCCCCAGTAAGCCTGGAAGTGTCCAGGACGAGATCTGGCGCGCCCAGTGGAAGTCCTCATCCGGATCGTGGGGGGCCGCCCAGAAGATGGAACGCAGGTCCTCGGGGTAGGGTCGGTCCCCCGCCTTAGCCTGCTGGTTCAACTCATCAACGGAGTACCTGGCCCATGGGAGTCCACCCACCTGGTGGTTCCTGGGATGCGTACCCCTCTCCAGCGCCTCCGGATTCACCTTGGTGAGGTTGTTGGCCCAGTCCGGGACGTGTACGGGGCCCGGTCGTCGGACCCAGCGGCCCGCAAAGATACGGACCTCTCCGACCCGTTTGCTCATCATCCAGCGCAGGACCGCGAGCTGCACCTCCGGGTCCTGGGTATCCAGGCCCCCTGGGGTGGCAGACGGCTTGTCAGGGCCCTCGGCACCTGAGCTCGTCGCGCCAGAGCCCGAGGCTGGGGGGATGGTGGGCTGCCTGTCAGGGCCCTCGGCACCTGGGCGCGCCGCACCAGAGCCCCCCGCCTTTGGAATGGGGATCCCCGCCAGATCCGGCAGATCTGCCAGGAGGGCCGCCGGAAAGGGGTTCCTACCCAGCGAGATGACCGCCTTGGCTTCGAGGTAAGAGTCCGTGAGGGACGTGAGGTCGTCCATGCTGAAATCCCTCCATGCCGTGGTCGGCTCAAAGACCCCCGTCTCAATGGCAACTCGGACCTCGTTAGGCCACGCACTGAATGGAGGCTTGATGGGCTCAAGCATTCTGGTCTCGTGGGCGCCCTTCGCTTGTCTGGCCTGGTGCTTTGCCTTCGCCTCCTCCGCAGTGGTCTGGGCCTGGAGGAGCTCCGGTGTGGGCCTCCCCCAGTCCGCGCCCAGCTTATCCAGCAGTTTTTCGCGGAAAAGGCCCAAGTCCAAATTCTTGAGGAGTAGGCCCCCATCGCCTCCTCCATCAATGGCCCCTCCCTGAAGCTCGTGGAGGACCGCCGCGGATCGCTCCACCGCTGCCACCTGGTCTGCCTTCTTGGCCTCCTCCTGGGCAACGGTGGTGGCGTTGAGCCGGGTCTGGATTTTGAAAGCCTTCACCGCCGACGGGTGGAAGGCCCTGCATTCCTGGCCCTCTTCCTTGTCGCCCGGCAATGGAGGTCTCTCCCCCATTGGGGCCGTCAGGAAATCCTCGTCCAGCTCCATGGGGCAGTTTCTGGGTCGGTGGCCAGCTCGCTGACATCCACCAAGGCGCTGAGCTTGAGGTCGCGGGCCCGGTCCGTGTCAGGGCCATCGGCACCTGCGGACCGAGCCGCCGTCCAGACCGCATTGCCCTGGTCATCCACCGTCAACTGCCAGTGCGTGCCCGCCATCTCCAGGGTGGCCGAGTTGGTCGCCATGTCAATGGGCTCCGTCTTCTTGCCGCACCCCATACACTTCCTGGCGCCCTTCTTCACCCAGGGCATGGTGCAGCAGGGGCAGATCCAGGATGTGGGCTCCTTACCCAGGGGGCGGTTCTCCAGGCCCCCATACCCCAGGCCAGCGCGCTTGCCGACCTGCTGTCCCGGGGTGCTGAGCCGGGCCTCATGCTCATACTTCATCTTGGCGATGTAGAACGCCTCCACCACACGCTCCAGGCCCCCCTGCTTGAGTTGGGGGCCCTCAAAGCCTCTCAGGAGCCGCTGGACGTCCTTGGCCTGCAGTCGGCGGAGCCTAGTGGCCGTGGTCGCATCAAAACACGGGAAGTCGCCCGCCATCTGGTCATCGCTGAATTGGTAAAGGCCCTCAGAGACTTTGAGGGCCTTGGTGAAGACGCTTCCCCCCGGCGGGGGGGCTGCGGGGTCCTCATCCTCCTCCGAGGACGCCTGCTCCCTGACCTTCGCCATCAGATCACGGCGTCTCTGCCACTTGGTGTCGGACATCGGGAGCTCCTCCTCGTCTTCCGCCAGGAGTTCCTCCATGGGAACATCCTTCTCCGGCGGGTTTAGGAGCTCCAGGAACGCCCCTGGGGGGCGTGTCAGGGCCTTCGGCACCTGCGCCACCCCAGGGGCTGAGTCTGCCATCAGCTCGTCCTCTGCCTTGCGCTTGGCTGGGATGAGTGGGGCCTGCTCCAGCTCATCGGCGCTGGAGAAGAACCGCTCGTCAGGTGCCTGAGGGACCTCAGCAGCCAAGACGGTCCATCCTTCTTCCTCCTTCTTCACGAGGCTTGCCAGGTACTTCGCCATGGAGGCCTTTGCCTTCGCCTTGGCCTCTGCAACCGCGGCACCAGCGTAGGCGGGGGCGTACATGGCTTTGATAGGAGGGGAAAGAAAGATTTCAGATTACAAGACAGAAGGTCAGAGTCCACTTGAGCCAAAATGGTGGCCCAAGTGGACACTTATGAAGAGTCAAGACAAGCGACCACCTGCGGTTAACGCTTTAGCCCAATGAATTGTGCTGCCCAAGAAAACCTCACCAGGCAAGCAAAGTCATTCCATGTTGATTGCGACTCTCATATTGGCTTGTTGTTGTGTGTGTGCTGTGAGACCGTCTGATCTCTTGAGAGTTCCAAAGCCAAAAGCTGAGCCTCCGGCCTCCTCTGTAGGACCTGGACCAAGGGACCCAGCGCGAGACATAAATGGCTCGGTACCCACGTCCCCACATGGGTATGGGTCGATATCAATCCACCAGGGGACCGCAGGTTTTAGTCCTTGTCTCCATTTACCAGGGTTCCATTTTGGGCACCATTTTTGACCCACAGCCACATCTGTCGTGACCGATCCCGGTCTCAAAAGGGCGGCCTCCACTCGTGCGCAACCTGCAATTCCCAAATTTTGCACATCCCTCGAAGGGCGAGTAATCACAAGACTTGGGGAGAGGCTTCAACTAGACCGCGGCAGCAAAATCAACTCAAACCAAGAAACCGGGAAGAGCTGCGACACCTGGCACCAACACCTGGGGAGTTACCAAGCACCGACTTGTCATCCTTGGGCCTTGGCACTCCCAGTCCTGCGAACTACACTGTGGATCCAAGAACTGGGACCCTAAAACCAGGGGAACATACGAATCGTTGCTCGAATTTCGGATGTCCTCCCATCCTGTCCGATTCAGTTTGAACGCCCGATTGGGTTACACGTGCATGCTGCCCCGATCTGATAGCAGTTGACCTTATAAAAAGAATCAATCGGAAGTTCTCGAACATGGCCATTTTTTCAGTACAGTACACGCAAGTAGTGAGCTTTTTCGGACCCTTGGCCTTTACAGTGAATTCGACAACCTTCTGCCATTTCGCCGACATCCAGCCTACCCCTTATGCCAGCGAAAGAAAGGATGTCCCTCAGCTCGTTAACCCAAACTCATCCCATGCGAAGCAACTGACGGTCTGGATCTTGGGGCTGACATCCCTTCGCCCATCTTCCCACCAGGCGACGAGCATCCAGCCTCTTTCAGAAGGCCAAAGAGAATGTCCGTAGAGAGTGTCCGCTCATGTGCCTGTGGCCCAGGAATTTTGTGTGCAGCTCCCTTGCAGGATCGCTTGCACAAAGCTCTTGGTGAAACTCTGCTGAAGCGCTGAAGCATCTCAAGGTTTCCGTGCCTCGTCTAGGATGATCACGGAATACTGACTCATGAGTGGATCCGTCTGACCTCGGGATCGGTGTGCTGGTGAAATCCAAATGGACAACTCTTTTTAGGAAAAACCCGAGGGGGCACGACGTGTGCTTCCAACAACAACCCCCTGGTGATTCTCTGGGGGCAAAGGCTTCCCGGCCACAGCTAGAAGCGGCTTTCCAAACGTTGATCGATCAGATTCTTGCCCTTGGATAAGCTTCCTTCAACGAGTTGGCCATCATTCAAAGACATCTGAGATTCGCTTTCCGGTTTTGACTGTTGGGGTCATTTTGGCACAGTCCGAGACAATGCTACCTGGGCAGAAAGCAAAAGCACTGATTGGAGTTTTTTGTGGACTAAGCTGCAAGTTCTACGGCGCCAAAGGCATCTTACAAGCCTTCGGCAACCAAGCCAAATCCCCCAAGTTCAAGATCCCCTTTTCGCCACTTCGATTAACCTCTGGGCCTAAGCAGTTGAGCATGGTGCCAAAATCGAACAACCCTCGTTGGTTTCCTCTTCTCACAACCTTCGACACCTTCCCCATCGCTTGTGCCGACTCGACTCGCTCGCTCAGGGAAGCACACTCGCGCAGCAGCATGCCGTCGGTCATGTACTTCAAGCGAGTGCTTTCGCTGGTCATGTCCTCGAATCTAATAAGATACCTCAGCTTCCAAACCACCAAGCACTCTGTTTTTGTCCACCTTCATTTTGCTTGACCAGGGGGAACCATCCTGCAATGTGCAGCTTTCAAAACATTTCCCGCTTGCCTAGGGCTACTGATGACATTGGGACACTTGTCACACAGTGCCTTAGAGCACGCGAGAACATTCAAAGACAAGACCTGGTGCTCCGAACTTGCCCATGTCCGATGTCTTTTTCAGCATTGCGATCCCGCAACCTCAAGAGACAGTTTTTGCCCGCCGGCCTGGCCACTCTGGCCAGTGACCAAATCTGTAGGTGCATTTTCTTGACGCTACCGCCGTTCCGACGGGTTCAAGGGAGCCAACGGGAAACCATCCATTTGAGTGGTATCTCGAGACAAACCCATTTCGAGACCTATGCTCGTCTGCCGCTCACCGCTCTCATTCGCCCAACGCAGCACACTACAAGGTGATAGACCTCCCTCCTGTAGCCCCCTTTCAGTGCAGAAGGATGTCTAAAAGTCGAGCCCCACCCTTTCGTTAGCTTTAAAGGGATTCCAAGAGAAAATTTAGCCAAGCACCACAAACATCCCTGGATTTCTCCTGTCCTCCCCGGGTTTTTCGCATTGCCGGGGACGTCCCGACTGAAACTGCCACCTTTTGGGTCCAACCCAACGGCCGGGACTCCGCTGGGCGCCCCGACCCCACCTCCTGGCCCAACTCCACATCCATCTCCTGGCGCGGGGGGGGGGGCCATGGTTTCGAGGCCCATAACGGTTGGGTTGAACGCTTGAGAAGGGAAATGCCAAAGGAAAAATTGCCCTTCCCGGAATTTTTCGGGAGGTTGTTTCGGATTTTAAGGATGGCTCCACTTTAGTACAACTTTTTGGAACACACGTGCGAGCAAAATACCGAATACGCATGCAAATGCAGACCAAAGCTCTCAAATACGGGTTCCATACAGGATGCGATCCGGTGAATTGTGTAACGTATGTTTCATTCTGCCGCCTAAAGTGACTTTGCGAGCTGTGTTGGTTCCTTTCTTAACGCAACTTAGATCTGGGACAGTTAATCTGCAACATGCTGATCCAGCCTATCCCCTGCACCAGCTTTCCCAGATGTAGCACAGCATGCTTTGGTACGTTCATCCCAGAATCTAAATTCGGCCAAATCGATGCGCCTGGGCGACTCGAGAAGCAACACCTCGGATGGACTGCGAGTCAGCTTCGAGCCCACCACAAGTGGCGAGGAAGAACTTTCCGAGATGACTGTAAAACCAAAACACGTCAAGCATTCGTTCGCTCCGCTTTGAAGCACAGTCCCACAGAGAGTACATTTCAAAGAACAAAACACCGAATTCTACCTTCATCACGGGTGAGCCACACCGGTGATGTTTAGCGCCCAGTGGATTCTGTAGGAAACTGGCAGTCCCGAACTGCGCTTGTTTCCGGCAGTTCGACTTGATATCGTTTGTCGCACTCATGATAATTTACCAGCGCCCAGCCGATGCATTTGCTTGGGTGCTTGGGCGCGTGTGCAAGTTGAACCTGAAACAGAACAATCCCACAGGAGCTGGCACAGATGCAACGCGCTCCACAACTTCCTATTTGGTACCTATGTAGTGACCACAAACCCCGCTTCCCAGTGGAGGGCAGTGCGTTTGAGGGTAGCGGAAACAGCTGCATCAAGACCTGAGTTACTTCAAGCCACGCCCAAGGCACTCGACAGGGGCCCCCGGCTCATTGCTGCCACGCGCCGAGGCTGCGTCACTGCCTTGGAATCGATGGAACATCCTGGCAAAAGGCTCCAGTTTCCATCAGGGCAGGCCTTGGACAATGGTCCTGGTTGAGCTTATTTGGATGATGGAACTTTGTGCATGTTTCATTGGCAGCCACGCATTACTTCGACCTCTGGAACCCCTTGGTTTTTTCCCTTACAGGTCCACTTTCCCAACTTGGCCCGTTAATTTCCCAGCCATTCATCTATTCTGAGACCAGGAGTGAGGACCCCCCTTTGGCCGTGTTGTGAAAGCAAGCCCATCCCGAAACCGACCAGGAAAGCCCCGCATTGTGCGACACACTGAAAATCTCACTTGCAGCGTCCGGCTCGCCTTTGCAAGCTTGGCTCGAAGTGGGGCTCTGTCTGCTGACTGTGCCCTTCAAAAACGCTTCAGTAACCAACTCTTCAAGTTGCCTTCAGTGCCCCATCTAACTGTCACATATTGTTAGACATAGCTTGAGCCACCGGCAAGCCCAAGGCAAAATCAAGATCCTTCCATGGTCAGGATCTGTCTTGTCCAATCAAGCAACCATCCACGCAAATTCTGGGCTTCTGGCACACACAAAGTCAAACATATTGCGTCTGACTACTCCTCAGGAAAAAAAACTGGTGGGAACCCTTATCTTGGCAAGAAGGCAACCCCAAGAGTTGATCGAGGAATTTCTGCTATCCGCCAAAAAACTGCAAGCAAAAGTGACTGTGCTCTGTCAAATAAGCCAGAAAGCGGCGGAATACGTTTAAATCATGAACAAAGGAGAGCCAACCATGAAAGGGATCCCTATCCACAAGTGGATCGCAGAAAGACGGCAAAGTCATACCGAAGAGGAGTGGTCTTCAACAGGTGAGTGTTGGGGTTGAAGGGACAGCCCAAAGGGCAAACTTGTCTGCTTGTCTTGGTGGTCAACACCACTCTCATATTGCTCCTTGTGCTTGTCTTGTGGGACAATAATTGCTCTATGTTGCTGGGCTTTCTTCGCACAAAAAGGAGAAGAAAAAAATAAGAAGACAAAAACACCATCGACCATCCCTTGGCTCCCTGCTATCTTGCCCGAACCAAACTCCGCCAGCAGGAACTGCGGCACCTAATGCTGTCGAGAGACCGAATGGTGACCAAACGAATGCTTCTTACCCCATCCAAGAACGGCTTCTCCCACTAAGTTGAGCTGTTCAAAATGGAGGCTTGGACCAAAACGATGTTCCACAATCCGACTTGGGAATCCACAATGGGAACCAAATCCTCGTGTAACCCAAGGACACGATTAAGAAATGCCTATGTCTCTCCCGGGGCCAGGGGTTTGGAAATCGCCATCGCCCTCTCAAACCCCGAAACCTGAGAGCTGGACTCCAGAAACAGGTTGCAAACCCCCGTTTTGGATGACAGTCCGGCAGAGCAAAAGGAAACTTACAGACAGCCCCAAAGTTCGAGACACGCCTATGTCGGCTTCCCACTTTCATCTTTCCGGAGCTAAGTCCAGAAACTGGCGGAATTAGCGGTTACAGTCCCTATGTCACTCTCTTTAATCATGTTTGCTCAGTTGTTTGGATTCTCAATTTGATTAAACAAATCCTGTTCAACATTGGTGATTCAAAGACAATGCCGTTATCTTGTTCTTTATTTTTTACACTAGGTGTGTTTGTGGTTTAGTTTGTGTTTACGATGCAAGACATAAGCATTAGCACTATGTATACCACACACACACACGTGCGTATTATGCATATATATATATGACATACATAAGTATGTGTATATATTAAGATATATCTGAGAACATATTCTTCAGGACACCCGACATTGTCAGTAACTGCAATATACGCCCTTGGTTCTGGAGCATCTGTTCGTTGGAGTTGGTTGAAATGGTGCTGCCATGCTAGTTTTGCAGCTGTGAGAGATTGAAAGCGGTTTTGAAGATAAACAAGGCAAGTTTCTTATTGAATCAATATTTCGAAGAAAAGCACAAAAGGTCTAAACCAGCATATGGCACGGTGCGACCGCAACTATTCATGAGCACATGCTGACTCCTGATCTGGAGCATGATGGCAGCAAGCGCATGGGCTTGATGCAACATCTGACCCGAGTTGCCAGTCCTAGCTAGGTCATCGCTTTAAATCATGGGGCCGCTATCGTGGAATGTTGTTCTTAATTCAGAATCCAGTGCCTGTGTCGAGGGTCGCAATAATAGCAAGTTGTTCTCGACCCCCCCCGACAAAAAAAAAGGAGCGCGCAAGCAATACCAAATTAGAACTGGCATGACGCAGATCGTAACCGAGACCCCGCCCGTTTTCCCTAAAGAGGTCCCGCATGACTGGTGGCGGCGAAGCCCTCATTTTTCAAAAATGTGTTTTCCGCAATTCTCACAAGTCAAATGTGCCAGTATTTCCACGAGTATCCACGGGGCCAACAAAACACTCTCAGAAGCCATGTTGGACTTGTGAGAATTGAGTGCGGTTTGGGTCTAGGGTTTTTACAGATTCTAGAGCTTAGGTTAAGGTGTTTGCGTGTTTAGCTTCGGGGTTCTTCAAGTTAGCGTGTTTAGGATTTCGGTGTAGGGATTTGTTGGGTATAGGTTCGGTTCTTTTTGGTGTAGGATTTTTGGTGTTTTTTTAGGGAAGGGAAAATATGATTCTGGCTTCGGGTTTCTTGTGCGTTTTGGCATACGGCTTTAGGGTTTAGGTTTAGGGCGTTTGAGGTTTACGGTTTTTAGGGCTAGGTTCAGGGATTGTCAGGGTGTAGGTTTAGGGTTTTTGGAGTTTAGGGTGTTTGGGTTTTGGGTTTTTGGGTTTAGGTTTGGGGTTGTTACGGTTTCGGGTTGAGGGTTTTTAGGGCTTAGGGCATTTTGGGTTTCGGTTTCGGGTTTTTGGGGTGTGGGTTTGAGGCAAGCAGCGGAAAATCACATCCGAAAAAAGCCTGGATCTGTGGATGTATGAGAGGACCTATGCATGTTGAGATGTAGATGGATGGATGGGTGGATGGATGGATGGCCCAAAACACAGTAAGCACCGGCAAAAACGACTCGTGATAAATTTTCGGAAATATGACCCGTGTGCCTTCCGCTGGCGGCACTGTTGAGGGTTTTTGGGCTATGAAAGCACACCCGACATTACTTAACAAAGTTCCCCCACACACACACACACACACAAACACAAGTCGTCATGAGTCATATCCTCAAGTCCCAGCACCTGGCACCACATCGAGACATGGCATACCTTCGTGTGGCCCGTGCCACTAGAATTTAGCGCAACACCGCGATAGAACACCTGCACACAGCAGTGTGTGCCTGCGTTGTTTTGCCGCTCCCAGTCTCCCCGATCAGCACGGAGCTCTGGTGCTTTTGCACCTGGGCGGAAGGGATGTTTGTCTGTGACCTTGCCCCTCCTTGGTGCGTTGGGTTCAGGGGCCACTGTCAAAGGACACTGATCCTCATTCGTGTAATGCTCCAACCTGGCACTTTGCAGTGGTTCCAAGCTCCCGTTCTCTGCCCGGCTGGCTGACCTTGCCACCAAGCATAAACAAGAAGCACAAAGTATGGCCAAGTTTTCGTTGAGTGCTCCAGCTAGTCACATGCACACCGCACTGTCCCAGAAACTGAACGTGGCACCCTGGAAACTCTTCGAATATCCGAGCGGTGCGATGATGCAGCCAGAAGAGTCTTTCGGACAGTTTGGGCCTCCTGCAAAAGAGGGTTTGCCTCAACTGAATGAGACATCGTTTGACATGAATCTACCAGGATTCTGGCATGCTTCTCATCCGCCATGTTCTTTTTCAGGGTACGGTCCCGCTTGGCCATCCCATGGTTTGCCAACTGTGCAGTGGGCCCCGTCCATCGTTTGCTAAACAATCCGCCCAGAAAGCATCCACGTTGGTAGATGTTGATTTGAATTTTCTCCCTGGCTCCAGTCACCCTTGATGAATCTGCATATTGACAAGGGCCCATCCTGCATTCAGGGCTCCTTCTCATCATCAACCCCTACATTGCTGTTGACACGTGCGCAAAGCCAGTGAGCTGGAAAAAAAAAACGTATTAAAACTCTTATCCCAGGATGTTTTCATTGCAAATCCAAGCGGCGGTCTTCATAAGAGTGAGGTCCCCCAAAAACATGCCCCTTAAGTGTATGAGGTCTCAGGTGTGTACACCGCTGCAAATTGTTGCTGGCTGCTGCTGCTGGCGCTGCTGCTGCTGCTGGCTGCTGCTGCGGCTGCTGCTGCTGCGGCTGCTGCTGCTGGCTGCTGCTGCTGCTGCTGCTGGCTGCTGCTGCTGCTGCTGGCTGCTGGCTGCTGCTGGCTGCTGCTGCTGCTGCTGGCTGCTGCGGCTGCTGCTGGCTGCTGCTGCTGCTGCTGCTGGCTGCTGCTGGCTGCTGCTGCTGCTGCTGCTGCTGGCTGCTGCAACTCATTGCTGGGATCTGCAGAAACAAAGAAAATGCAAACTACAGAAATGGGCCACTCCTGATCCAAGGCATCTACGACTGGCGCTCGACTTGCGCGCGACTTGCGCGCGACTTGCGCGAAAATTTAGCAATCTTCCGGATTCTTTCGACCATGCAGATGATGATGATGATGATGATGATGATGATGATGATGATGATGATGATGATGATGATGATGATGATTATGATGATGATGATGATGATGATGATGATGATGATGAATCATCACTGCGTCACTTGCGCTTCACTTGCGCTTTACTTGCGCGGCCCCATGTTTGACTTGCGCGGCCGCTCCTGCAACACACACTCCTGCCATTCAAATTACAAGCGGCGGTGCAGCTAATTTGATAGGTCCAAAAGACCTGGGATCATGCCTTACATTGACACATACAACGTTTTTTTTGTTTTTCTCGACTCAGATGAGTCACTCCAATCAAAAAGCGCCGAGATACGAGCACACCTGTTTTTTTTCTGGCCAAAAGCATCACTCCAGCGAATCAAAATGAACCACGGCAGTCGTTAGATGTAGACACCAGATGAACTGCTCGTCTTTCCACCACTCTCAGTTTAGAAGAGGGCGATTGTCCGAGTCTAAGTGGGGCTGGTGGGCTGGGCAAACACAACTAGGGGGCCCCCACTTTTGAACCTTGATCTTGCTGTGGATGGACGAAATCCTGCATCACCTGAGAAATAGAATGATGATTCCCCTGTAAATGCCAACAAACAGTGGGTTCCCATGGTTCTAAAGTGGTGCGAACGGATTTCGCAACCATCCACAGTATGTGCCTCTTTGGAGGCGGTCGCAATGGTCAGCGTTTTGCTGCCTTGCGGAGGATGAAAAGACATTGCCAGAAGTTGAGACGTCCAGGAAACATTGGTTCTAGGACGCGATGGACAAGCAAGCGTCAAACACACACTCACACACTCACACACTCTTGCAACAGTGAGGTTGCAAGTGATCAGGCAACTTACTCCAAACAATGTCTGCGGCTTGGCGTCAGACAAGTCCTAGGCAGTCGGGCGCCCAGCAAACTTAATCATTGAGCGTAGGCAGGCTCCAGCATACAAGCAATGCGAGTCGCTGCCTTCTGTTCTTGGGCTGACTGAGCACTTTGACAGAACAAAGACCGTGAGACGCCTTGCCACCCAACCTAACCAACCTCAAGCATTACACGTATCGTATGCCACTTCCGGGTAACGTCGAGAGTCCATGCCGAAGAAACAAAGGCATTCACGGCTTTTGTTCAGCCCGTGCACGGCAACGCACAATCAAAACACTTCTCCCAAAGAATTCGGCCGAAGAGCGCAGTTTTGCGCAGCAATGGCGCAATTTTGCTCAATCAGGAGGCGTACGTTGCTGAACCTGTTCCTTTCTACAGGGAAAGCACTCACTTTTGGTTAAACGGCCTGCTTTGTTCTGGGAAAATCACACCGAAACTGTCGCGCAAACAACAAATGCCGTTGGAAGCAACTTGTATTGAGCCAGGTGCAGCTATGCACGTCATTTCCAATTTGCGCTTCGCAGCGTAACACGGACTCTGCCCAGTGTGCGTGTGCGCAAAGACGCATGTCTTTGTGGATAAAGGCATGGCGTGGTGTGCAAAACCAAACAACTCCAAGTAGGAGAATCCATGCCAACTCTATTTATTAGGCAGCGCCGAGTCCAAGACAAAATTTCTAAGTCCTTGGACGTCAGGAACGCGTCAGCACCGCGTCAAAACTTGATGCATCCACCATCTCGGCCCTTGTCAGGCTGGCTCCAGTCAGTGCCATAATACCGCGAAGCGACCCCTGCCATTGGGGGGTTAAGAGTCTGCCACGAAATGCTGCGATTTTGAGCAGCGGAATCAGTTTGAATCGCAAAGCGCACATGAGATGTTCGGCAGGCGCCCCATACATCACAGCCGAAAGGCAATGACCAGCTTGAGAATCTCAAGTCATGGCGGGCCGATTGCGCCATCATTCATACCAGCTTGGCAGCTTGGCAAGGCCCGAAATTGCGGCGGAAGGTGCCATGTCCCGCGGCTCATGTCGCAGAGAACGTGTGGCACCTGATTAAAGTCAAAATACGAGGAGCTGAGTTGATTCCCAGACCTGCAACAGTTCCCGCGCGATGCCCGACACGACAGATCGGTCCTCTTGAAGCGGAACAAGCAAGCCGTGCACAGCAAAACCTGGCAATGGCCCTCACAAAAGCCTATCCAACATTGGCCTCGCACGAGAAAGCTTGTCACAAGCACCACTCCTCGCCTGCCGAGAGCATTCCAGTCCACGCATGGGGTGTGCTGAAATGCGCTTGAGATCCCGAGAGGCCATCTCTAGCCTTGACTCCCCACCAAAGCCCGGTGAGACGTTGATACGAAGGTCTAGGGATCTAATCCAGCCTTGGAGAACCGATTTGAATCCATCAGTGTCACAGCGTCGCGCAGGTTGCAGACCACAACCTTTCCCAGCAGCGCTACGACCTGCGAGAAAGAGTTTGAACAAGCGAGCCAAAACGAAATGAATCTGTGAGTCTTTCGCAAAATCTGGCACTCCGCACTCGATGTTGCAAAAGTTCGGGCGCCCTGAGACACCTTTTACCTTGGAAAGGGCTTTACGCCTGCTTGAACAGATTGCAATTCCCACGTAAAGGGGTGGACCCCCGTCCCATCAGCGCGACTCAAATATGGCTTCGAATCCCTGTCGAAACTGTCTTTGGGCCAACAAACCCGCGAGTGGACGCCCTCAAGCTTCGTGCGGCCTCAGCAAGATCATCTCTTTGGGGGAACAATCCAAAGGCCTTACTAAGGGGATTTGTCGAAGGGATGTCCCTGCGCGGGGCTTGGGTTGCGACTTGAGTTTCTATGGTTGCTGCAACTTTCAGCTGGAACCCCTCGGACACAATCTATCGCAGGCATAAGACAGCGTGACTTGTATTTCTCATTCATGCATTACCCGAAGCAAACTCGCTTGGTTGAATCCAACCGTGAGGTTTCAAAACAACCCTCCATCTTTAAAAAAGAATGTACCTCTACCCCTTTGTGTTTGTGCAGAAAGCATTGCAAATAAGTCCTCCCAGTTTGACTGCAATGTGGACTAATCGTGCACTGCCCCAAGAAACACATGAAACTGAGCAGCTCATCAATCCCAATCGCGGATCGGCAAACGGCTGAGATTGCGCGAATTAGCCCAGCATACAACCCAGCCACACGTTTGGGTTAAGTTAAACAAATTTGCCCTTATGGCCTGAGTGGTGGGAAGAATGGGTAGCACTCCTATGCAACCCCTCCTCCTTTCGATAAATGTGGCCTACTCACAAATACTTTTCCCCCAGGCCCATCGTGTAGCCCTGGGCCGATTTAAAAGGCGGCTCTCGCACAGCTATTCAATCCAAGTGCAAATGTGAATCCAAATTGAAATCACACATTCACATTCCAAAAATACAGTTGAACATATTCCAGTTTTATTGGCAAATCAACAAAATGCCTTCATCAATGAGCGGATATGCCTGATGATTTGATCATAGGCACGAAACAAGTCCTCCACATGGCCTCTTCCCACACATGCACCCCAAGTCATGACAGCCTTCGCGGCCATCGCATGTATTCCGCTATTTGGCTGTGGGTCGATTCCCAAAATGGAACCTTGGTAAATGGAAACATGGACTAACACCTGCGATCCCCTAGTGGTTTAACTTTGACCCACACCCATTTATTGCCAGGCTCGCACCTCAATTCACCTGCAATTGACCGATGCCACGCGCGGCATCGGCCTCCTGATGCGAGCCGTTCCGATCTGCTGCCCTGGCAATATCCTCAGCTGTCCGCCCGGCAGAGGTCCTTCGGCAGAAGGAAGAGAGCAGCCACTGATGGAATCTGTGCGTTGGGCATGGCTCTTTGAGCACTTCAAAGGGCTTCAGGGTTCCAAGCATGTGGGAGGGGCTAGGGATCGCAAGCCAAGGATGAACCATGATGAACCACTCAAACACCACGGGAACACCCACCGTAGCTCCGTAGCTGACCTGCACGTGGACTGGTCAATCCAACGAGCCACCCATCTTGGTTCGTCCGTGAGTCCTCTGATCCAGGGTTGCACCTTCCAGAAGCAGGAGCCGCAGCAGCTCTGCGTCTCCCAGCTTCGCAGCAACGTGGATGGGCCACATCGTCTCCTCTCGCGCGTGGCATGAGCGATTTCCTGAAGCCCGGCTCGCGGGACAAAGTCGACTTGGTGACTATCAATTGTTGTGGCTGAATTTCTCTCTGACTTTTCAAGGGCTTGCCACACTGTTCCATTTTAGGCTCCCCCAAAACTGCATCAATATGCCTGGGGCCAGCTCTGAATTTTGAAATCAATGAGCCTGTAAAGAAAACAGCTGCATCACACACTCGAAGAATTCTACGCTTTGAAATCCCAAGTTGCTACCCGCAGAAAGCCAGCCGAAGCCTAGTGCCTGTCTTAGCCACACCCGGACGCCCCATGTCACCATGTTCCGTGCAGCTACAGCAGCTCTTTGGATTGACGTTGCGTGTTGAACGTGGTCTTCCCTTGTTTCCTTGGCGGGGAATCAACAACTTAGGGTTACTTAGCACGCAGGCAAATCTTGTCCCTCTGAGTTTGAACCCTTCAAATTCGCCTCTCACTGGGGAAGAGTGCCATCTGCCAAAGTGGGGGGATTTCCCCTAGGAGTACCCATCAACCAGAGGTTTATGAACCAACTGGATTCCCGTCAACACCTCCCTCTCAATCCGCATCTCATCAGCTCTCCGTCCCCCATCACAGCCCCTTCCTTCCGTGCCAGCAGCAGGCACCCGCTAACGCGGGGTTCAGTGGCATCAGTAAAGCCATGGCTGCGAAGAAAGCGATGCAACTTCCTTAGAGCAGCGTGTGCTGGTGCTTCGCTTTGCGCGGATCAAGCGTTCTCAGAAGACCCATCCAGAACAACATGATAGCCCTGGTGTCAACAAAAACCTGCCGCTGGTCCAAATGCCACAGCGACAATTGTAAAATGATCCATGGCCAAGGCAAAAAAGTGGAGATTGGGAGGGCTGTTAAGCCTAAAGTCAGTCAAGGGTAGTCCGCAGCCAACCCCTTGACAGGTTCATAGAAGGGTCTCTTGGGCCCATGAAGCCAAATCGACAGCCTAGCCGGACAGGGATGGAGTTCGCGTGAAGGCACACAGCTCAGCTTTCTTTCTTTCCTTGCGACTCGCTCAGTGCAACTAAGTGGGGGGCGGGTTTTCTTGTTGGGGCGGGGTCAGGCCCAAAAAGCAGCAACCGCTATTGTGTGTCTGCATACTGCAAGGCAATCACAATCGATCTGTTCATGTCCACTGATCGGCAAAGGATCTCAATTGCCATCTCCGAAGGACAAAACAATGCTTCATGACAGCCCACGTTTGTGCGCCAGGGGGGAGGGGGTAAATTGCAAACGTTGATTGCCTGAAAAGTTGCCCATGCCTGCTAAAGACCAACCAGAATGTGAGACATCAAATCAGCCACGCCAGTTCACGTGCAATGTTTGCCCTACAAAGGTTGACAAAAGCCTTTCTGACATGCCCGTTCAACCAGGTAGACCGCTACAGAAATGGCCAATGGCGGGCTCAGCCGCACGTCTTTGCCCAAGCATCTGATGCTTGGCCTCACGTCTTTGGCTCAGAGCCGCTGGCTGAACTTGACGTGAGCTGGTGGTCCTGCTCCAGCTGGTGCTCTGAGTGCAGCACGTGTCTTTGAAGTCCTTCGCAAGCTGAGAACGGGGAAATGGAGGAAAGCCAAAGCCAGCATTGCGGCAATGGAACATGAGCGAAACTCTGGTCATCACCCCAACATGAGCAACCAACCTAGCTAATCCCAGCCAACATCCCGCTGACGTTAGATTGACACGCGCTCACGTGCGTCGGTCGAGGGACATCGGGATGCGGCCTTGCCAACTTCGGCTGAGTGCATATCTATGTCATCCCCGGCAGGCCAGGGGTGTCTTTTTGCCACCTTTTGTGAAAAAATGATCGACCCCCTTGTAGGAAGGATTCCTTTTTTAGGGGGTCGCCAATTTTCTGGAAAAAGGTGGCACAAAGACACCCCTGCAAGAGGCGGTCTTGGTGGCTTTCATCCCATCCCGTCCTCCATAAAGATGGGAGCCGGGCGTGCAGACATGAGCGGCATGCTTGGTTCTGTTTCAGCTGCGGACGGCGAATCAAGGTGACCAAGGCCTCCAAGGTGACACGAAGCAAAGGGGTCCGATGTCATTCCTCCTCACCTTGTGGGACAGCATCCGAAGTTTGCCACATTGCCGTGTTGTTAAGCTGCCCAACTACATGACCCAACATTTCCGGTATCATAAACTATTGGTCCCTGCAGCTGAATTGCTGGGACCAGTTCTGATTAGTCGGGGAAAAGATGATGAAGGAACATGATAATGATGAAAGAGTGAAGTAGTATATACAATTGATTTTCTCCTTGTTGCTCTCTTCGTTCGCATCATTTCTCATCCCCAGGTTCTCTCGAGGAGCTAGACAACTTTGGCGCAACATTGAAGGAAGATGACCGGCTGCATCCAGGTTGATTCTTGCGTCCCATCATTTGGTCGTGAGAACCTTGATGGCTAGGCTGTGTTGTAGGCTGGCCTGTAGTCATTCCCTTGACAGTCACATACAACTGAAAATGTGTCACCTGGTGATGACACAAATATCATCTGCTTTCCGTGCACAAACTGTTTGTCTGACTCAGCAGGTCCCCGATCGAGAACATTTGGAATTTGATAAACCGCCCATCATCAACCATGGTGCAGCTTAAACAAAAAACTTGAGCTGCAAACAAATCCAGTCAACCAGTTGTGGTCGCCATCAATAGAATCAAATTCCTAGCCGTTCCTCGTCCGGGATAGGCCATGATCACGGCAACATCTCGTTCGCATGGTCAGTGGACAAATTCCAGGATTTGTTTGTGAAACCACTGGAAAAAGATGACTTTCGCCACATGGGAACAGTTGTCCCCATGGTCATTTTGGGGCCCGCTTCACAGAATATGCAGATCAAGCCCCTACGTGGCGCCATGACCTGACTGCCCTCTTTTAACTTTGAGGATGCGGCCATGTCCACGGCCTCCTGCCGCTTCTGCCAGCCTGTCCATGGGGTTGATCTTAATCCGTTTTTCGGCCAGTTTTGACAATGGGTAAACTTGTTCCATGTGGGGAAACATCGAATCCGTTTTTGTTTTGGGGGGGGGTGCCAACTAATGGTCGTCCCATGTAAAAATGGACCTTTTGCCAAAGCCCGGGCGTTGGGGTGGTTTCTCACAAGGGCTGGAATCCAGCCATGAATCTGACATCCTGCAGCTGTTGGCTCAACTTTGCCCAGCGATCAAAGCAATGACAAACTTGACCTGCGTTCTCTTTGGGCCCAAATGGCACAGAACAAGGGGGAGTGTCGAATGCCAACGACTAGCTTGGCTTTCTCCCAGTCTCAAAGGAATTGTCAGAGGCTTACCTGGCCGAGCTTCACTGAGCCAGAGATCCACCAGAGGATGCGGCACGGAATGGCTAAGTGACCGGCAGGGCAGCTTCCGGCGGGACTTGAGGATCTCGAAGAAGCGCTTAGAATAGGTGCGCCCCGTGAGCCTCGTCTTCACAAACCCCTATCCCCAACAATGCTGAGCATGCTGGAGCATCTGGCCCTTTTCTTGGAAGGGCAGCTGGAATTGCAAACAAAAGAGACAAAGGCTCGTCATTTGCCATCTTGATCCCGGGACATCCAAGCTGAGGATATGTTGAGATGGGTCCTGGACTCTTAGACTCGCAACGCAAAGGAGAGGAGAGGCAAACTCTCTTCTGCCTTCAGAAACTGCGACGTGTCTTTTTTCCAAGACGAAGGACGCCCAAAAGGAACCCGAGACTTCAGATGAGTGCTCAGGTATACCGAAACCGAAAAGATACCAGAGGCCTGCGAACTCGAAGGACAAATGTGACCAACCAACCAACCTCCAGCTGGGAACTGTGCGGCTCCTTGGTCATGAAGCTGGGCGTGGCATCACTTCAGGGACCCCGCACACAGGAGGCGATGGAAGAAAACAAGGCCTGTAGCAAGGATCGTCATGAGGCACAGCTCCTGCAACTCAGTTGCCTGAACCCGATGAGTAAAATGAAGAAGTCTCGCATTGGCTTTCCTTTCCCTTTTACTCACCAAGCCCGTCTCATGACTGGCTGGGTCTTCCCACCAGTTGGTGTCTCCTGGGCCGGCATCCACTCGCTGGAGGCCTCAGAAGCATGCGAGCCTTCCACAAGAGATACCTGCTCCCTATATCTATTTGTGGGTGACACTCTTCTCATATCCTCCTCAAATGAAGCAGTGCTATCGTCCTTGCCCAATGCCATTCAAGAGAATCCAAAAAGTAGTGGGAGGTGAGGTATGACACAGGCAGGCAGATCTTGCGGCCAACAACTTTCTGCGGCAGGCTCCAAGATCCAATGCACGAAATGGGAGCCATGGCTGTGAGCATTTAGAACTCGAAGCTTATCACAGCCTAATCATACTGCATTGACTTGGGGTACTGCCGGGCGGGCTGCGACTTCGCCCCTTCGGCCTCAATGACACGCGGCGTGGCCAGGGCGGGGCCAAGAGGATTGCTTAAAAACGGTAAAATCGCTATTGTCTAAATAGAATCCTTTGAGCTTTCCCACATTTCTCCTCAGAGTCGCAACCAATGTCGCCTCGAGAACGGGCCCGCCAATAAGCATCTAGGTCAAACGCTTGGCTTGGATGGATCCGGTGTGGTTGTTGCTGGAGGCTAGCTTAAAGCAGTGGAAAATCTTGGAAAGCCTTGGTGAGTGTGGACAGCGGTGGCAAGCAGTGTCTGAGGGTTTGTGTATTACACCCTGCCTGGGATTACACCCTTGGGAAGAATGGTTCAAAATAACACCGTTTTATCCGAAAATGTGCCTAAATGGGGTCAATACTCAGTGGGTGTATTCCCAGGGTGTAATACAAAAACACTTAGACAGTGGTAGGCGGTGGCGGAGGATAAGACCTTGGCACTTGGTTGCAAGCAGAACAGCTGGCGGAGCTGTCGGTGATGGCATTCGCTCGTCAACAGCCACTTGGGAGTGGGTTCATCCATTTATCACGTGCACTGCCTTTGCGTGCCCTTCCAGTTTCAGTCGAGCATCCACTGCCAAATCTGACGGCTGGAGCATGCTGGAGCTATCAGAATTGAGCATTTGTTGCACTCTCGTTATGAGGCAAGCTGCTTGGCTACCCTTTCTGCAAGAGTGTTCTTTCTTTGAGAGAACAAGAGAAAGAGCAACTGATCCTTCCAAAATCAATCAAGTACGACGTCACCGTACCGACAAGGCCATGCGAAGTATCGGAGTGCCAATTGTGCTGGGCGAATCCGACTTCAACCAGCAGAAGAGATGAAGCTGTTGCCAAAGTGCACACAAACGACAAACCCAGGAAACCAGTCGGCATCGCTCCAGGCCGAACAGCTACCTGCCTGAAATACTACCTGCTTGAAAACCGGGTTTCTACTACCTCTACCCCAACCAAAAGGAGAGATCTTTCCAAGGCAGCCGAATGGGGGTTTTAACAAGGCCTTCGTAGGGGGAAGGACCCCTGCGACACGAGCAAAGCTTTGGCTCCCGACATCGCGAGCAAAGCTTTGGCTCGCAAACTTGGCCAAGCCCAGCGCGCGCAGCTGCGCTATGCGCTGGGACAGTTCTGCGGTGGTGGCACTGCTTGCACTGCCTGGCCTAAGCCTAATGCCCACAGGAAAACTTGACAGGTGGAAACACACGGTCACGGTAGACTCTGCCATGCAAAGGTTGCTTGGAAGGCCAGGCGTTTAGCAAGAAGTGTGATTTTCTGGAAGCTGTCATCTCTTCTTTCCATGTAGCTGGCGCTGGGGCAAAGCGGCAACCGAATGCGGAAAGTGCATCGACATGAGTTTCTGTTGGTGTGATGAACCTTGGCAAGCCAAGGGCCAAACAAAGTATGCCGGCACCTTGAGAGCCAACAAACAAATCCAGCAGCCTGATCATATGTCGACGTCCATGCAGCATCCACACAAAGCAGGTGTTTGTGTCCAAGTTGTGCCCAGATTGCCATGCTCGTGCTGAGCTTGAGGTAACCCGGCAAACAATCTCGGACACTGTCAAAGTGGCTGATCCAACTTCATGGCCGACTGTCGCAAGACTCAGCTGTGCAGGGCGACTCAGCCCTGCCTACGCAGACGGGGCCCTGTGCTTCAATTCATCGAGGCCGACGGTTTCAAGGGTTGACTGACCAAACCCAATAGCAATAAGATCCACAAATTCCGCCTATCCCAAATGCCGCACAAATGGCAATCTTGGTGTAGATACATACCTCAGCATCAATGAAAGGTCCGTCCGTTGGGAAGCAGTCTCCAAATGAGAACTTAGATGCAACAGTCTGCGAAGCCAGGCCATATGTAGAAAGACTACCAGGCCACACAAATTTGTTCAGAGCCTCTCGAGCAGAAGCATCAAGCAAAGCAGCCAGCATAGGTGACACAATATTGCGAGATGGCCCCCTATGTCCAGGCACTACATCAACCAATTGTACATACAGATTGCCATCGAAACAACAGCTGGCATGCAAAAAAGCAGGGGAAAGCCTGCGAGTTCGAGGCCCACCTTTTGACTGCACCGCATCCCACCGCCTTTGGCGGTCGCTTGGCAGGTGAAGATCTGGCGCGCCTCACCACAAAGCTCTCCAACGGGCATCGGCACGGCTGGCTCAAGCGCTAAAGCCTTTCAATTTGCTGAAATAAAGTGGAGTGCATTCCCATATGGCCGTGTGTCAAAACTGGACTCAGTTTTGGGGAAGTACCAACATGACACTCATCAATTGAATCTCTAGTTTCTCATGAGGAGTACCTGAATTGTCTGATTGTGTGACCTTGCTAGAAGGCAAGTCGCATCCCGTCCGAAGGTTCTCATTTGTCTCTGTAGGCCTCATGCCGGTCATGCTTGGCCAAGGCATGAACACCAAGCAGCTGTTAAGTCCGTTGAGAGCCAAGACAAACCGTGCAGAGATGTACGTTGAGGTTGGTGTTTGCAGCCAAACCACCCCACGTGTTGCCCTTGCTCCGCACATCCAGCTCATCTCATCCCTGAAGATGCAAATCACAATGGCACAGCCATGGGCAGGAACAGAGAACTCATCGTCAGCACCAACAACAAGCACAAAGCATGTTCACAACATGTGAGAGCTGTGAGACGTTCGTGCACGCCATTTATACTACTTTTCCCCTGCAGCCCACATTCGTGAATCATATATATATATATATATATATACATATAGACATGTAATTCTTAATGGCGTTGCCATAGCCTATCCAACAGATCTTACCCGCCTGGCCCTGTTCGGTTGATTTTTGTGGGGACTTGGCTACCACAAACCAAACTCACCGTGAGCGGACGTGGTCAAAGCCCACTGCGGACCAGGCCTCAGCTCCGCCCAAGGCGGCTCTGCTGCAGCGTGCCGCTGGCAGTCGCCTCCGCGCGTCGGACCGACGCTCCGACGCTCCGACCGACGCTCCGACCGACGCTCCGACGCTCCCAGGATCGCCAGGCGATTGGCCATTTGTGTCAGGTGAGAATTTACTGTGCATTTTCTTTAAAAAATGGTGCAAGGTGAGAATTTACTCTGCCTGCGACAAATGATCGTTCATTCATAATGCCATGCGCTGAGTGATGTTCAAAGTTCGGACAACGATATTGCGGGTGGATCTCCAGGCACATGACCGGCTTGCTCATCAGGACAGGGTGCTCGGGGCTCGGGTCTCTTGGTCCGGATCTGGTGTCCAACCACATTTCAGGAAGCTGGGATGCCAAACTTGAGGAGCGGGTGAACGAAAGCTAGCAGTTGTTACATGAGATGGGTCGGTGACAGAGTGGATTCAGAGGTAGCTTTTGTACAACGAGAGGCCCGGCAAGAGTCGTAGGATGCGACACGCAAACGCACATGGTAGCGTGGCAAACCTTGAAAAATGAAAACAACGAGAGGCGTCAGAAGCTGTCTTAAAGCACCTCTGGGTTCTGCATGCTGCGTGTGCAAAGATTCTTGCGAGGTGGTTTACTGAGAAGACTGAGGTCTCAAATGAACAAGCTGAATCGGTGGAACATGTAAAAGTTCATAACACCAAGTCCAA